CCCCCCCCCCCCCCCCCACACCAGAAGAAGAATGAGGCTTGAGGAGCTCCATGAATCAAAACAGACCTCTCACATTACCCGGGAGCACAGCCCACTGAGCTACTGTGCCACATTTCACCCGCAATCACATATGAAGCATTTGTTTTCAGGAAGGGCCCCCGCGGAGGCAAAGCATCTGTAATCCCCACACCTGCTGGCTCCTCCCGCATTATCACCTAAATTAATCAGCTGTGTTGATGCGTTTGTGTTTGCATTTCATCGTACCGGCAGATTCCACACTATAATTATCGCGCCGGCTCCCGTGTGTCATTTTTCTTCTCTCAATCAAATCTAATTCAGGCCTCACAATGAGGCTGATTGGAGATAACGACTCTGTCTTCCGAGGATGCAGAGAATCTGAAAACAGTGTCATGGCTGATGCCAGGGAGGATTAAATTGTATCATCATCCATCTCATCAGAATTTTGTCATTAATTTAAAGTTTATGTCAAATTGTAGCTTAGATTCGAAGAGATATCACACAAACTTTAATATGGTTTCCCGTGCTACTCCAAGTTTTGCCAGAGACCAGGGGCTTTATAAATAAGAGATTCAGTACAACAATCCTGATTCGCATCCACACAAGAAGCAAAAAAAGAAACATGTAGATCCACGGCACAAAGTCGAGCAGTTCAGTGTAATTAGAATAACATCCGTCAGGGATATGGAAATATCCCACGTCCCTGTGTCTAAACCTCTGGGTAATTGTGAGCACTTGTATAACCAAATGAGCTCAGAGTCACTCGGGGAGTTCGAGAAAGTCAGCGCACGGATGCCACCAGTCACAATGGAGGATCAGTGCACTTTTTTTCCCCCCGTGGAACACTTCATTAAAGACAGAGGGGCTGCGCACGGGCATCCCACTGTGCACCAAACCGAGCTATTTTTACACGAACAAGACACACACACAAGGGGAAGCCGAGGCAATGTTTAATTTATGACGCTCGTCGTGAAAAGGACTTGGGCTACACACTGGGTGAAGAGCGAGTGTGGGAGGTGTCGAGAGAGCAGCGAGGATCTTTCATAGATTAGGACTCAAATCAGGCGGTACGGTATATTACGGCCCCTTTTCAGAGACGGCGAGACCGTTTCTATGCATCGCGTTCACGAGATTATCGGCCGAGTAACTGATCGCAAACCTGACGTGTTTTGGAGCTTTTACTTGATTTGAAGGCAACATCAGTTTGTAACTTTTGTTTCTGTTAAAAGCGTTGAAGGCATGGCACAACTTGGATTCGTATGAAAAATGTGTGATTGTCAGAGATGTACCACATTTAACAACCATTTAATGGTTAGACATTGTTATAAACTACTTTTCTTTTTTTAATTTTGAGTCAGACGATGCTGTAACAGCTGTTGCGGGAAGATAAATGCAAGATGGATGCATGTTGGGAGGCGTCCATGAGAGCCATCGCATGCACTATATTGCATGCTAATGAAGTGAGGAGTTAGAAGTCCTGCAGAGAGCCTAATGTTCTCTTCCAGATGGTCGTACACAGGGGCACATCACCTCAGCTCCTCATTTACTTCCTTCCACTTCCACATTTATGCCCCCCCCGATTGTCTGAAAGATTTATGTGTGAAAATGCCAAGGCTTGCGCGGCTCAGGAGGTTTTTCCCCTCTTTCTTCCCTTCTTTTTCCCTCTCTGCGGGGGCTTCACATGCGAGGTTACCAACACCACCGCAGGCCCAGCAGGATCTCTTGATACTCACCATGCCAGCACCACAGGGGAGCAGAGTGGCTTGCTGAGTTCCACATTTTAGTACAGGCATCCCAGCGAACGCTGTGGGCTTGCCCCAGGAATGCCTCCCGACCGCAGCCTCAGTCACTGGCACTAACAGGGAGCAGGAGAGGGGAGGGAGCAAAAAGGAAATGCAGTTATCAAGTCGGAAGAAATGGAGGTGTCACACACAAACTGGAAGGCTTATCCTCGCCCGTCAAAGAAAACGGCTTTTGCGTCGTACCTTAGTGGCACAAGAGGCATTAAAGTTGTGTTGGGTTTGTAACATCACAGCACTGGAAATGTCAGATGAGTTCGAATGAGTGTCATTGCCACAGCGGCCTCAGGCTCTGCGTCGTGAGCGCTTGTTTTCCTTGCTGCAGCAGGGAGGTAGACAAGTCACAGAACAGCTCGATAGCTGCGTGAGCGAGCCCATGGGTGCTGGAGGGGATACAGGCCTGTGCGCAAACAATATCTGGTGTGTGTGTGTGCGTGTGTAATCAAGTGAAATCATCGACATCAAACGAGACATGAGAGGGAGACATTGTCCTGTTAAGATCATAAGTTTAATCTTTACCGATTGATTGGTAAAGATTGTAAAGTATCAATCATCGTCGTACAGCTAAATTGTATGACTGCACTCGCTGCCTATCCGAGCTCACCCACACAGAGGGGGAGAGATAATACCCGTATATTTGAAACTCTTTTGATGACACAGAACTGGGCCGGGCATGCTGAAACCCCGGCACGCTCGGCGGGTGGCTCCGCGCCACTTTGTCTCCACTAATCCTCTATGATCAACTCATATGTGGAGAAAGGGACGGGTCTTTCGGCGGCCTCTTTCAGACAGACACCGTGTAAGTAGGTAAGTACAGAACAGGACCGGGACAGGCGGGGGAAGTCCCATGAGCTCACCGTCTAGCCTGATAGTGCAGCAGCTACGCCTACTGTACCTGCTCCCGACTCCAGGGAGTGTCTCCGAGGAGCTTTGTGGAGGTTCAGCTCGTGTGTGTGTGTGTGTGTGTGTGTCAAAAAAACACCAAATATTACTAAGCCTTTGAAGATTCTGGCAATAATTTCAGATCTCATTCAAACCGTCTCAGGCAGTCTAAGCTTTCCACAAGTGACGTTAAGGGTCATTGTGACACTACGATGAGTATGACTGCCGGTAAATCGCCCACATTCTTTGCTAATGACCTGAATCATTTCCTCTGGAAAGAACAAGACAAGACTTTGAATCTTTGTTTGGAAAGATAAAAATAAAAAAACTGCAGCTCAGGACTGATGTAACCAGTACAGAAAAGAACTGTTGAAAAAGACATTCTTTACCCCTGACTAAATGAATAAAAGTTCTGTAAAGAAAATCAATAAATCTACAATGCTAAAGGTCCTGTTTCTCCCATAAGCCTGTTTTATAAAGTTTTCATGGTTCAACAGCTGAACCAAACACATTTTAATCAGTGAACCAATTTCCTTTTTGCGGAGGCAAAATACCTAATTCTTCACACATTTTGAGTAACTGAGCTTCAAAAAGATTTGGACATATGAGGCAAATAAAATGGAAATTGAGTTACAGTCATTGACTCAGGTTCTTTTTGTTGCTTAGTATTTTTTTGGGCAGTAAAATGTTTATTCCCTTTGGGACAAATTAAAAGCAAAAGCTGTTGTTACACTTTCCCAAATTACTTTTCCCTGAAGTAAGACATTGATAATACAATTATTATGTCAAAGTGTAATATGATTTAGTGGATGCAAAGCAAATCTACAACAAATGATCTGACCTCATCCGATACACAAACGAGTGTAATAAAATATCTTTACAGTTTAACAATGAATCATTTTTGAAAGATTGCAACTCGTGAAGAAAAGATGAAGAGTACGCAAACAAAAGACATCTGTTAGTTACAACACTGAATGTGTCATGCACTACTTTCCACTACTCTAGTTCCACTTTCCACTATTTTTGGATCCATGTAATGTGCGATATGCAGAAGTAGAATTTGTTTTCTCTGTGTTAAGGGTCGAGTCTGTTCGCAGCAAATTCATGAGCATGTAATGTGAAAAATGTTTTGTGTCTGCATGCACGTTATTGAAGTGTGCCCATCATATTAAAGCTCGATCACAGTGGGGAAATCAGGTTATTCTGGTAGGTAGTCCTGGGACGCACACACATGCATCTAGACTGCCCTCTAGTGGTTTCTGTAGAATAGGAGTTTTCAACACAGAACGCTACCTAATATTATCTGTAGTTCTATATGAATGAGATTGTGTAACGCCTATTATTATTATTCTTTGTCTTGCTACAATACAAATTGGCAGCCTTAAAATATGCTGAATTGTCCGTAAGAAGTTCCTGGAGTGCTTTGATACTGAAGAAAACTTAACGTGATGATTCTCAGGCAAGTTCTGGACTTACACTGGACTTTTTTTTTTAATGGGACTTTTATTAGCGATTGGAAGGTGTAGGTCCATCATGTCTGTGTGTTCAGCTTTATTTGCGTTATGACAACCAGAAGGTACCTTGATCTGCCTCCACGGCCTGTGTGTCACATCCACTGCCACTGCTTCGACTCCCGCTCGTGTTGATCAGCCGGACAAACTGCACCTGACTTCCTGCTGTTTCAACAAACACGTGTGTCGAAGTGAGTTCCGCTCTTCAGGCAACGTCTCCCTCCGCGGTTGGGGTTAGGCCTTAGGTTGGGTTTTAGTGTAGGAAGCAGCAGGACTATCTACATTTTTTGGAAAACAAGCCCATTTCTACTCTACTTAATAAACCCATTAGTCTTGCAGCCTCCTTGCTATGATATTTCATTGTTTTAATATTTCATTATTAAAAGAATAAGTCAATTTCTTTCCAAATCCCATCTCATGTCTTTGTAACTTCTTCACAGTGAGAATGCAGGTATGCAGACTGATATGGTATGTCATTCATAGCAGCTGATCCATCATGCGAGGTGGGTAACACTAGTGAAAGTGACAGGTACTGTCACTGAGTCCTTATCAGTCAATTGTGCTGGCAGCGGGTCAACAGACAGACCAGGTGGAAAGGAAAGACGGCTCACATACCAACATGCTACAGAGCAGCACAAAGCAGCCTGTGTTGGTTTGACAGCACTACTGCTTCCTCTTCTTTTGGCTTTATGGTGAAAGAGGATATTCACTAAATGTATAATACTGCAACACTCCAATGATAATTTACTTATAACAACCTTCGGGAGTCTTAAACGTACAGTGAAGTGTGTAATTAATCTTTACTGCAAAATATCTTCAAAATATTCAAAACAATATTCAAATCCTTTCTTTCACTTGGCTCCTGTGTATTTCCGCTTACAGCTCAGGAATTCACTTCCTTAGGAAAGCTGTATTAAGATATACATAGAAAGATACAAAACAATTTTTTTATAGTTCATGCAGGTTAGATTAAAATGCATGCCGAGCAGAAACCCTGGGTGTGATCAAGACAACAAAAAGTGTGCGCTGATGCAGTCTTCCAGAGACGACATGCCTATGTGTAGAGTAGATCTCACTACACAATGAAAAGATCAAAGCAATGGTTATCAGTTTCGACACACTACACTGCTCCACCAGCAAGATGCTGGTAATGTTTGGATGTGGCAGGCCTCCAACATGATCTAGGAAGTCTGTGTTCTAGTCCAAAACACTTTTCCTGAAGGGTGCAACAATCTGTTATTACCTAATCAGAGAAATGTCTTTCAAATTGAGCTTCATTTTCCCAGCAGCAGGTAAACATGAACAGTGAATTACAAGGAAAGAGCAAATCTATGTCTATTAAAAGCCTGCAGCAGCAGGAAACTGTTTTTCAGACGGAATGTGCCACATAAATGCTGCGTCCTGAGGTGAGGAAACAGGTTGCACCAGTTCTCTCGCAACCGCATCAGATAAAGGTGCTGAGGCTGAGCCCGAAAACCGGTGCCTCACTTTCTGATTTGATGCGTCACACGCGGGCCGACCCCTCACATGCCACCAGAGGAAAATATTACATAGTCCAAGGGCACGTAAAATATATTTATGTATGATCAAATTATAATAGTGCGTGTGAAAAAAGTTGGAAGCTCCGCTCATGTACAACTGACAGACTCACAATGGCAGCACATCGAGCTGCGCTGTAATAAACTCATCCGTTTTGACATGTGCGTCACTATGCCACCATGGAAACTGCATGTTTCAGATTCCTAATACCTAGTGGCCACTGACTTTGTGCTGTGAGTTACAGTAAAGTATGTTCTAGATATGCAGGGAATGCTTTCTACAAATGAATTAATTTAACCAACCTTTGGGTTATGACCCTTTTGTTTTGACAAAGTGCACTGAGGTGTGCAGCTTCAATGCTGTTGAGTACACAAATCAACAAAGCTAAAAAGGGAAAGTGACATTTGAAAGTATCTAAAAAGGAGAACCGGTCTCACCGTAACAAAAAAAATAACTTGTGAAAGCAGACACTGACATTCAAAACAGTTTATACCTGTAGATCACATGAAACATTAAAATGACAGAACTCATTGCCTCTTAAAAGTGACAGTATTATTAATTTAAAAACCACAGCCAGAGCGAGAGAGCGTCAGTGAATATCAAAGAAGTACTTAATTGACAGTTTTATGAGAAAAAAAAATCCCATTTAGCTGCACAATATGAGGAACAAGTAGATGCAAGTGTGGGTATGACAGTCGATGCGGTTTCATGCCCAATGCAGTAAAAAACGAAAATGCAGAAATATGTGGTTAAGCTGCTTCCCTAAAGTGTTGTGTTGCCTTCATCAATCCTGTTGTGTTCCTTTAAATATAGAATCTAAGGGAGTCCGTGGCACTTAAATGAGGCGTACGATCGACGCCTCAGTCCCTGAGCAGCCCCAGTTTCTTCAGGGCCTCGCGGCGGCCTCCTCCGTTTTCTGCACGAGGGCAGATCAGTACACTGATTCCTTGCGATCGAGGCAGCTTGTGAGAGTCTCTGGCGGAGTGCTCAAAGACATTGTGGGGTAGGGACCTCCGTAACTCAGGCTCTTTGCTGGTGGTTTGGCCCACTGGTGAACCCTCTCTCCCTGCATTTGCAAAATCTTTCTGATTCCCCAGAGAAGCCTGGCGCGCCCTGTTTTTACGTGGCTGGCTGGCAGGGCCGGCCTCGGTGGAGTCTTGACCAGCCATATAGCTGCTTAGACCCAGACCAGAGCGCTCCAGGGTGGCCGATTTGACACCTACAACCTTGGGTGGGGTTCGATGCTTGACCAGGGCAGGAGGGGTATGAGGGGGCATGGACACTTGTGCATTAACTGTGGCCTCTGAAGCATCTTCGACAGACGGTTTGTTATCTGACAGTGGAGGTCCGACAGAGTCACTGAAACCAGTGGGTGCTGGCAGAACATCAGCGGGCTGGACTGCGGGAGATGTGGAGGTAGCTGATGGTGACGCAGCAGCGGGGGACTGGAGAGGGACGAAGGCAGGAGGGGAACTGTTGACAGAGGTGTACGATGGCGTGATGGGTGGTGTGTGTGGAGGTCTTGGGCTGATTGGAGAAAGAGGAACTGCCCATGAATTTCTAGATTTGGGAGAAAAGCTGGGGCTCAGGGCGGGGCCTGAATCTGCCTCTGCAGGCAGCAGGCCAAGCTTTCTGAGGGCCTCAATGTGGACCCTCTGGGGGTCCAGCCTACTAGTGGGCACCGAATGTTCCGAGTTGTCATCAGAGACGGCCACTGCCGTCTTGTGTGACTTCAGAATAATGTTGGCAGGGAGCTTCTTGGGCTTAGGGGCCACAGCAGGTGGACTTCTGGGCTCAGCCGCTTCAGGAGGAGGACTCATTAGGAGACCTGGGCTGAGGGCTGGTAGACTCAGTTTTGGGGGCTGGTTTAGAGGATCCTGGGTCACTGAAGTTTTCTTTGAAAAGGCTCTCTGGCGTAGCTGCTCCAAGTCCACAGTTGCTCCTGGCTTGTCATGGTATATTCTTGCAGACGGAGGAAGGTCTTTTACATTCTGTGTCTGTGGAGGAAGGCCTGGCTCATCCATGAAGTCTGAGGGAGGAGGGATCACATCGATCTCAGAGGCCTCGTTGGACTGATCGGGGCAAAGACTGGCGATTGGGACAATCTGAAGATGCCCATGTTCATCCTTGGATACACACAACTGAGAAGATGATGGGCTGATTTTGCCATCAGCAGCTGATTCAGTAGAGGACTGTGGTGCTAAGGTCTGACTTAGAGCGTGATGCTCCGCTCGGTCTTTGATGGAGAACACTCTGGATCCAGGCTCTGTTGTCTGGTCTTTTCCGGACGCATCGGACTTTAAACTGGGAACGCCTAAGAAAGAAAATCAAAATTGCTGCGATTAGTATTGCCGTTACTTTAGTGAACAATGTGCAAGTATACATATATACACGTAATCGACTCAGAAAAACATATTAACATGAATATTTGATGACATGAACATACCATTTACTCCCGTGCCTGCCTGGAATGCAAGATCTGGTTCATCATTGGAAAATCCACTGTCCTCTTGCACCTCCAGCGCTTCAATCGTCTCCTCAAAATACATGAGGCACGCCCTTTCTTCTGGAGATAAGTGCTCCATACTGTCTTGACTCTGCAGACAAAAATAAAGAGACTGTGAAACGCATTCAAACTCTGCACAGTTTCTCAACTCGTCAACAATCTCGGTCCTCCATTTAACCCTTAGTCAAGACAGGGACAATGGGTCAAAGTTGTTTAGTGTTCAAACAGCTGCAAAGGAATGACTTATTACACCAGTCCTGTTCTGTTCTTAGCTATCTTTCATTCTTTATTGGCCTGTCAGAAGAATGTATTTCAGGTGACTGCAGGTGCATGTGAACAGCAGGAGATCCTCTCCCCTCTCAACTTTAAAGAAAGAAACCCTTTAAAGGCCTCTCTCTGAACGGTGAGTGTGTTTCACCTCAAACTGGTTCACTTCCCCCCCCAATCCCCATCTTCTCTCATGTTTACAGTAAACACCCACGCAGACGTCATCACAGCCTGATGCACATATCTCGGTTCTTTATTTCAACTTTCCAACAAAAGACAGAAGCACTAAAGTAACGTTTGTTCAGATGGGCCAGAGGAGAAGTCAATGAGTTATACGACGTAGAGATAAGACACAGAGTCAGCGGGACAGAAGGCTGGGGTGAGATCTGCTGCAGCACTCACATAGCCAGAGTTCATGCTGATTACGCTGTCGCAGCTCCCGGTACTGTCCACTTTGCTCAAGGATTCCATGGCAACGCCGCCTGGCCACGTGTCACTCTTCGGCATTGCACAAGGAAGAGGACGAGGGCAGGACCTGGGCCTCGCGGTCCTCTGCTGTTTCTGTTAAGTTCGCCAAGAATTAAGTTTGAGGAAGAAATCTGGACAAGGTGAAGGAGAAGATGTGAGAATGGGATAAAAATGACCAAATTAGAATCAGATTAGATTAGTGTGGCACCGCTTTCTGCTTTATACAATAGAAAGACTGACCTCCCAGGATTAGCATAACATGGAAGATTGTCTTTGGCACTGGCATATACAACACACACCATAAACAACAATAAACGACAACGATATATCCTTAAGTCCCTGAGTTTATCAGTTTATTTCTGGTTGCAGTGTTTGTGAAGGACATCAGCTGACAGGAAGTAAACATGGACCCAAGCTGTTGCTATTGAAATACAGGTATATTCAGACAGACCGTATGAGAAACGCAAGTATGAAGCACACGTATGAACCTGGAAATGAGCAGAATATGTCTCCTTCAAAGTCTTAATAAAGTGACCAAGTGGAAGTAATAATAATATTGCTGAGTGTGCAGGTGGAGGGGGCCGATCAGTTCCAAGTGGGCCTATTTAAACAATCTCCTCTTGAGAACGGTCACAGCTGATGGAATAAAGGATTTCTTGTAATTGTGCTTCCTGGCCATTGGGACATTCAATCTGCAGCCTGATGGCAGCAACCGACAAGCTGGGTTGAGAGGATGGATGGGGTCATTGTAGATCTGGATTGCCTTTTTGGGCCGTGGATTGAGAGAATAAATCCTGGAGTTGGAGTTGTTTGTCTCCATTGATCCCGCCGAGCTGATTGACGACCTGTGTCAGTGTGTTCTTCTGCTTTACCGAGAGGTTTCCATACCATACAAGACAACAAGCTGACACGTGAGCCTTAATAGTTCAAAGAAATTGGTTTGTACACATCACAGCAACAACTATTAATGTCAAATCTTTCCATTAATGTGATGAATAAAGGCCATGAATTACAGCCGCTAGCTAAATGATCCTCATAATGTAATAGCGCTCCTGTTCAAGATGTCAAATGTGCTGTCACTGATATATTAAACATAACCAGCAAATTGAGTCATTATGTAAATGAAGTGGTGAATTAGTAAATTAGTCAGGTGCCTTATGGACATTTAAACTGGTTTTACTTGCTGTTGTCATTCATGTTTATACAGGCCAGTAAAACATAACTTATTCTATATATATCTTGTATGATAGTATATTGAATGTGGGGGGGGGGGTTTGACTGTTGGTTTGACAAAGCAACAATTCAATATGTCTCTTGTGGCTGTGGGAAATTTTCCAGACGTATCAATTCATCTAAAAAAAGAAACCGCAGAGTAATCGACTGAAAGATCATTCTATTAGTTGCAGCACAAATATATGGTGCTTACAGAATTGTGACTTCAACAAATGTCCATTCTCACTGATGTAAGTTCAATCACTTATTGCATTAACAACTGCCGCAAGATCTGCTTCCTAAGTAATTGCAGCAGCAGATAGCAGGAAGAGGATATCTCTTGCATCACGGCGCTCAGGTTGTGATGTGAAAATAACTAGAAGTCATCATTAATTGGTATTCCGTTCACTATGAAGTGAGGAATGCTCATCTTTGTTTGTGAAGCGTGACCTACTCCACGTCATGTGTGTGTGAAGACAGATGATATGCCGTGTCACGGTGCAGCATGTGTTTCCTGCCTATTATACCTGTGTGTATTTGATAAGGAGGAAACTAAACGTGCTTTATGATGACCCTGATGAAGGCCACAAGCTGAAACGTGTTGGTCTTACAGTAAATGTGTCTTTAGACTTTTACCCTTCATGCATCTAGGGAGTAGGTGAAGTTGTGCTGAAGGACACGTACAACTGATTTAGCAACAAAAATGTAAATGAATTCACGGAGACCATAAAGAAAAGACCACTCAAAGCAAAGTTCTTACCTCCTTGCTTTCCCTTTTAAGTGCCAAAAGCAAATACCACCAACAATGAACAGTGATTGAGTCATGAAGGGATAATATTTGATCAACTCGGGTTAAGACTTCGTAGTTGGATTTTGACTAAATGGGTCACACAAATGCAATATGCTGCATCCTGAGACAAAAGCTTTACAACCTGTTATAGAGCTTATTTATCAGGCAGCCACAGCTGCACAATCAGGTTCAGGTGTGTTTGTGGGAGCCGAGCGAAGCCCACCTCATTGTTCTCTTATCTCAGAGAACATTTGATTAAACGTATAGAAGAGCAACGGAACTAAGGTTTCCCGTTATGAGTCAGAGTCACTGTGTCTGCTAATTAGCCTCCAAAATGACATGAGGTCTCTCAGTCTGATACCGCATGAGGGCCGAGAGTTATCGCAGCAATTACTGGCGCATGAGGCTCCTCTGAAGATGAGACACAGACACTCCTTCGCCATAAATAATAAAATGTCTGCTCTGCCGGTACGAGACTGTTCTAATTTCAATTATATGTGACAGAGGACATGTTTCTAGGAAAAATGAAGCATTTCTTGTAATACACTGCGTTTTATGGCAGCAGCTTAAACAGGGTGAAAGATCAATCGGTGACTACAGCGTCCATCGAGGACAGTGAGGTCATGTACTCTGTATTGTTTTATGTTACTTTGGAGGCTTTAGTTAGCCGGGCTTTTACATTGCCACAATTAAAGAAATGAACACATGGTGGGCATTTCAGAGGCTGAGTCAAGTATTATTACACTCAATATATTTATTTAAGTCTATTATTTTACGCCTAAAAATGACATACAGGATTCAATATTTCTTCTCGGAGGTATGAAGACGGGACTTTGCAAAAATTCTAATTTTTGTAAATTTTTTTAGATTTTATTTGTTGACATCTGATCAAACATTCCTGAATCCCCAGGATTTGGACCTCATTATTTCTAAAATCCTTGTTATGACCTATAGACTTCAGTATTTTATCTTTTGATGTTTTCACCTTTCACCACCTGCGCTCTTTTGTTTTTGTGATCTCGAGCAGTATAGCTCCTAAACCTTTGGGGTCCTAGCCTTAAAACAAAGAGTACATGAGAGTTATGAGCAGTTTTCCTTCTCAGATGTTTTCATTTGAAGGATTTTCAGAGGCCTGAAGCAGTAACAAAAAAAAAATCCCATATTTGCAAGGAAAAAAACTATTCAAAAAGTAATATTTTCCATTAAATACGACCAACTTCAATTTCTAAGTGATCTGCATCTGAGGGTGCAGTGCAGTGGACATTTTAAACTATGTCCAACAGAAATGAACTTGTTTCACGACTTCTTTTCAAAAGGAGTGGCTGTGTTTTAAAACAAGAAGGCGATATGTCCTTCTGGAATTTTCTCACTTGCTTTAAGAAAATAAGGGTTTGAAGATTCAAGTAAGTTACAAGACAAATGGAAAAAAAAGACAAAGTGAGAAGAATATTTTGTGAGTGCTTTACACCTTGGGATTATATATCCCCAAATCTAGAGCGCTGGCAAAGGGCAATGACATCTTTGTCTTGTTGACATGACATGGCAAGGACATGACATAGCAAGGACATGACATAGCAAGGACAGTTGGGGAAAAACCTGATCACCAACACCCACATTCCCTCGTGATTTCTGACTACAAAGGCTGGTTGGCAAAGCACCCACTGGAAACTTTAATAGCTGCTTATTACTGTCCCTCCCATCTAGTTCAGCAGAGTGAGAAACAAATGTCCAAGCTTGAGCAGCCAACACCTCGATGTCTCTAAACTCAACCAGGCAACATACCTGTAGGGCAGCAGTGGGAGAGTTCACTGCACCCACAGCTGAGTCAGGATTTGTCAGGATTTGACAGGAATGTCACTTTGCTTGCTTCCACGTCTTAAAGACGACTCTTAAAATAAAGCAGAGCGCTCTGATGTGACTGGTGTGTTCCACTTGAATTAAAATTCAGCAGATAAAACACTTTAAAAAGGGGGGGGGGGGGGGGGTAGATCGGAAGAGCGTCTGCGT